TCCAAGGTACCCCGTCAGTTGGCAACCTTCCAAGCCACGGCTTTTAGCGCACCGTGATAGCTTCAAGCGCGTCAGATTGTTTATAGTGAGGAAAATGCGCTGAGTCGTCGACCTCACTCTCCCTTCCCATTCCCACACCCCAGCCACTGTCCGAGCCGGTCAGTAGAATGGAGTGGGGAATGGGCGCGGTGGCTGACATGGTCGACTGACCATGCCTGCGCGCGCCACAGAACGACCTGGCCCCCCATACACACAAACACCAGGATTTCACACAACGGGGGTTGAACGGCGTGTCTCTCACTTGCGTGAGAGTGCCGTGGAAGGTGCTGTTACAGCCCGTCCCTAGCCCACCGGTCCGCCACTCCACACAACACACACACACAACGTGACGAACTGTGTGAACCGAGAGCGGGCCTCAATCAGCAACCTTCCTATCCACGACACTTGACGTGTCGGGATAGTCTCGGACACAAGTCACCCGTGCAGCCGAAGCCGCATGGGGACCGAGTCGAGATGCACACTTCCCACTTGCGTGGGAGGCGGCAGTTGAGTGCATGAGGTGTGTGGGGGTTGATGTCTGGTGGGGTGATGGTGTTAGGAGGTAGGGAGTGAGGAATGTGTGGTGTGGCCGGCGGTTGTCTACCGCAGGTCGTCGTGGATGCGCATGTGGCCGAATAGACCCATGCGATGCGTGAAGGTGCGAGGGCAGTGTGGGCAGTGGAGGCGAGTGCGGTGGGTGTAGGTTGGTGCTCCAGGCACTGGTTCACCAGTCTCTGTGCGATGGATTCGCAAGTGACCGACCAGGCCGATGCGAGAGGTGAAGGTGTGGTCGCAGTGAGGGCAGGTGTAGTTCTGATCCTCATCACCGGAATCGGGAGGGGTGGGGGTGGTTGTGGTTGTTGTGTCGTGGTTGGCGATGTGTGAGGCGGCAGCCTGAACGGCCTCCGCTGGGGCAGTGAAGAGGGAGGAGGAGGAGGACGACGAGGAGGATGGAAGTGGTGACTCAGAAGAGTTATCAGAGTTAGTTGGTGGTAGGGAGGACGAGGAAGAGGCGGGCGGGGGGACGATGGCTGGCGCAGTTCGAGAGGTACAGTTGATTCGGAGATGTCCAACAAGTCCGATTCGTGCCCTGAATGTCCGTTGACATCGAGGACACGCAGGGGGAGGTTGTGCGGCGGCGTTGCGGACTGGTCGAAGTTGTGATTTGCGGGCTTCGCGTTTCGCTTTGGCGGCGGTGATTCGGTTGGCTTCATAGATAGCAGCGCCCGTCTTCACTGTTCTCCTCCATGCCGGACGATCGCAGGCGAGCTCTTCCCAGTTGGTCGGGTTGATTTGCAGTAGCCTCAGGGAGGACTTCAGAGTATCCTTGTAATGGCGAATTTGGCCTCCTTGACGACGAGAACCCGTCGCGACGTCTCCGTAGAAGAGTCGTTTGGGTAGTCGCTCGTCGTCCATGCGCACCAGGTGGCCGCTCCAGAGCAGCTGCATTTGTTTCAGTATGGCGTAGATGCTGGGGATTCCCGTTCGTTCCAGTACTTCCGTGTCGGGGATTCGATCCTGCCAGTTCAGTCTCAGGATGCGACGGAGACAACTGATGTGGAAGTGGTTCAGTCGGCGTGCCTGTCTCGTGTACACCGTCCATGTCTCTGCTCCGTACAGTTACGTCGGCAGGATGACAGCCTTGTACATCTTCAGCTTTGTGCTCAGTTGGAGACCGTGGCGATTCCAAACTGTGCTTCGGAGGCGTCCGAAGGCTTGACTGGCTTTCGAGATCCTGTTGGCGACTTCGTCATCAGTCTTGATGTTGCGGGAGAGGGTACTGCCCAGGTACGGGAAGTTCTCCACCACTTGCAGTTGGGTTCCGTTCACGCAGATTTGTGGCGGCGCGTTGGGGGCCGTGGCTGAGTTGGGCGGCGGTTGGTGCATCACCACCGTCTTCTGCGTGTTAATGACCAGCCCAAAGTTCTCGCAGGCGGCGGAGAATAGGTCCATGCTCCGTTGCATCTCCTCTTCCGAGGTGGTGTTCAGGGCGCAGTCGTCGGCGAAGAGGAGTTCGTGCACGGTAGCTGTGGATACACGCGATTGGAAGTTCATGCGCCGGTGATTCAGGAGATGACCGTCCGTTCTGTAGGCGATGCGGATTCCAGGGCGTTCGTCGCGGTAGGCGTCCATCAGCATGGCAGAGAACATAAGACTGAAGAGGGTAGGCGCCAGCACACAGCCCTGCTTCACTCCGTTGGTCACTGCGAATGCCTCAGAGACAGCTCCGTTGTCCGTGACTCGCGCCATCATACCGTCGTGCAGCTGACGCACCATCTGAGTAAATCGCTCCGGACAGCTGAATTTCTGCATGATCTTCCACAGTCCTTCACGATTCACCGTGTCGAAGGCTTTGGTCAGATCCACGAAGGTAGAGTACAGGTGGGTCCGCATCTCCTGACACTTCTCCTGATGTTGGCGGGCGGCGAAGATCGTATCCGTGGTCCCACGATGACGACGGAAGCCGCATTGGCTTTCCGGCAGAAGGCCCTGTTCCAGATGGTTGTTGAGGCGGTTGAGCAGGATGCGAGCGAAGATCTTCCCGGCGATGTTCAGTAGGGAGATGCCGCGGTGGTTGTCGCAGACTTGACGATTCCCTTTTCGCTTGTATAGGTGCACGATAGTTGCGTCCTTGAAATCTTGCGGGACTTCACCTTGACGCCACATCTCCTGGAAGAGCGCAGTCAGCTGATCCATCAGTAGGGGACCTCCGTGCTTGTAGACCTCAGCAGGGATTGTGTCCGATCCGGGTGCTTTCCCGCTGGAGAGTTGCTGCACGGCCCTGATGGTCTCCTGCAGAGATGGCGGGAGGTCGAGGTCCGCGTTGGTCACCACTTGCGGCAGGCGGGCGATGGCGGCGTCGGAGATGACGGAAGGGCGGTTGAGGACGCCTCTGAAGTGCTCGGCCCATCGCTGTAGGATTTGCGTCTTCTCAGTTAGGAGAGTGCCGCCGTCAGCGCTGAGGAGAGGAGCAGTGCCCTTCGTCGGCGGACCGTAGACAGCTTTGATCGCGGAGAAGAAGTTCTTCCATTCGTTGCGGTCCGCGTAGCCTTGGATCTCCTCAGCTTTGCGAGCAGTCCAGGCGTCCTGC